CTTAGGAGCTCCTTTGGAAAATGGTTGCAGGAGGCCAAATGATGGACGCAGAGGGGTGTGGAAAGAGTGGTGTCAGGAACGCAACAGGATGCAGGCTCAGTGTGCCCTGGTTTGTGGGGTGAGGGAGGAGTCTGGGTTACCTTGGGATATGTTGACTTTAAGATCCCAATGAGACATCCAAGAGGAGATGTTGTTTGTTTGTTGGTTGGTTGAGAAGGTCTCACTGTGTAGCCCTATAGGCCAGGCTGGCCTTGAACTCATAAAGATCCACTTGCCTCTGCTAAGCCTAAAGGCATGCTCACCATGTCCAGTTCTTCCAAGGATAGACACACACGTTGGAAAGGGAATTAAAGTTTGGCAAATTTAAATTTGGGGTTTACTGTATGGAGGAGATGGCTCAGTGGGAAATGGCCCATGCTGTCAAGCCTAACCACCTAAGTCCCATCCCCGGAGCCCACAAGACGACCTGAGTTTAATTCCTGGAGCCTATGTGCTGGAAGAAAAGTGACTCTCACAACCTGTCCTCTGACCACCAAACCATGGCATGCATGTGCCCACACACGCTCACGCAGGAAATAATTTAAAGAAAAATTTTAATGTAGGGAATTGCTGTGTATGGGTTGCAGCTGTGAGGAAGTCACGTATACCAGGCAGAAACTCTGGCCTAGGGCCTGGCAGTGTTCTCTATACAGCCTGCAAGCTAGCTACAACCTGTATCAGCCTGTTTCCCACCGTTGAATGGAATACCTTTGGCCAGATCTCTTATGAGAACAATCATTTGGGTTGGGCATGTAGTTCAGTGGAAGAGAGCTAGCCTGTCATGCTTGAGGCCCTGGTTTGATCATGAAAGAAAGAGAAATGAACAAGCAAGGAAAAATAGGAGTTTATGAGGGCCATTCTCATTCAAACCACAACACAATCCTCTTCATGTGTTTTGATGGTTGAGAAAACACTCCAAAATGGTGTGTGTGTGTGTGTGTGTGTGTGTGTGTGTGTGTGTGTGTGTGTGTGTGTGTGTGTTGGACAGGGTCTCATGTAACCCAGGCTGGCCGTCAACTTGCTATGTAGCTAAGGGTTACCTTGAACTTCTGATCCTCCTGCCTCCACCTCTGCTAATCCAGCCTCAGCTACTGAGTGCTGGGATCACAGTGTGCACCTCTAGCCTATATTTTGCTAGTGATTATTTTTTAATTAGCATGTAAAGGAGTAACTTTCATTATGGCATTTTCTTCAGTTTTTTAAACTATTTATTTATTGGGTATGGGGAAGTTAGGTATACATGCCATAGTGTACATGTGGAGGTCAGAGGACAACTGATGGGTGTCACTTCCCTCCTACTATGTGAGGTCCAGGGATCGAATTCAGGGACATCATGCTTGGTAGTAAGAGTCCCTACTCTCTGAGACATCTTGCTGGACCCAATATGTCATTTTCATGCTTTGGTTTTGTTGATTCTCCTTGTACCCCGTGTGCTGGTCAGTTCTTGTCAGCTTGACATAAGCTAAAGTCACCTGAGAGGAGGGAATCTCAATTGAGGGACTGCCTCCATCCAATTGGCCTGTGGGCATGTCTGGGGGGGGGGTATTTTTTTGATTGGTGATTAATAAGAGAGAGCCTGGATCACCATGAGTGGTACCACTCCTGGGCAAATAATCCTGGGTTGTGTAAGAAAGCAAGCTTGGCAAGCCATGAAAAGAAACCACAATCAGTGTTCCCCTGCGCCTCTGCTCTAGTTCCTACCTCCAGGTTCCTGCCTTGAGCTCCTGCCCCAGCGCTTCTAGATGATGGACTGTATGTACCCTGTAGGCTGAAAGAAACCCTTTCCTCCCCCAGAGTCCCTTTTGGCTATGATGCTCACCATAGCAACTGAAATTAAATTAGGACACCCCTCTTCTCCACAATGTCCTTACCCCTGCCTTGTGCCCTTCTCCCCAAGCCATCTCATTTCAGCTGCCGTGTTCCAGCTGCTCTTTTGTGCCCCATCCCCTGACTCAAAACCTCTTTTTTCCCCATCTGTGGTTCCCTTTCTGGTTATATGATGTCTATCCAGGCTCACACTCACACATATATATTTATATACATAAATTAGAAGCTAGGATCCACATAGGAGAGATACCGTATGGTATTTATCTTTCTGTATCACTTATTATAACAGTGTGCTGATATTTTATCTGTGCACCCCAATAAAGCTTATCTGAGGATAGGATCAGAGGAAAAAGCCAGCCACTATATTAACATAGAAGTCAGGCAATGATAGCACACGCCTTTAATCCTATCACTTGGGAGGCAGAGATAAGTCTGGATCTCTGTGAGTTCAAGGCCACATTGGGAACAGAGCCAGGCATGGTGGTACATACCTTTAATCCCATCACTAACCATAAAGGTCAGGAGGTCTGTACAGACAGACAGGAAGTGACAGAGCTGGGCAGGAAGAAGAAGTGATGTAGCTGGGTGGAAAGAGAAAATGAGATGGCAGAACAGAAAGGCATATAGGCGTGGGTATACAGGAAGTAGGTCTCTTTGGTGGAGGATCTCCAAGTGGTAAGAACATGGCTGGCTTCTTTCTGCTTTTCTGATCTCTCAGCCTTTTACCCCAATATCTGGCTCCAGGTTTTTATTAATAAGACTGTTTAGCAATTCATCTATGTAAGAGTATCCAGAGCCATTCATTTTTCTGCAAATTTCCTTTTATGACTAAATTAATTCCATTTTGCATTTATATCACATTTTCACTAGCCATTCATCCGTTGATGAAAATCTAGTCTGGTCCCATTTCCTTGCTATTGTGAGTAAAGTAGAAAGAAGTATAGTATGTAGTAGGGCAGAGACTCCTTTAGGTACCTGAACAAGTGGTGTTTTAGAACACACCCACCTCTTGCTTCATATGGCCCTGCCTCCCAGTTGCCCTTCTGCTGGCTTTTGGGTCATTTACGGTTCATCTTTGGTCTCGCCCTGCCCCACTCAATCCAAACCAACCTTAGATGAGTGAATGAACTGGATCTAGAGCACAGATAGAAATACAGCCATGTGCCACTTATCATCCAGGGATGTGCTGTAAAATGTGTCACCAAGTAGTTTCATCTTTGTGCAAACACCACAGAGTGACTTGGGTAACCTAGATGGCATAGATCAATCACTACCCTTGGTCTTGACACCATTAAAATAAACTAGACATGAGATTTGCTGCCCTCATAATGTGGCCTGTTCCTTTTTTTTTTTTGATAGAAGGTTTATGCTTTAAAGTAACAACACAAAAGATAAAGACGGCATCGTAAATGCACAAACAAGTAGCAGATTATTGTGTGTCCATCTTCATATGTGCTGTAGTTCTTTACAGGATAGGTAGGAGGTGTGTTTGTGCCTCATTGTCACAAGAGGGATGCTTTGGGCTGATGTAACAGACTTGGCAAAAATGAAAATATTCTAAAGAGAGACAGTGTCTCCCAATCTATCAGACTACTAAAACATTGGACTCTAAAGAAATGAGAACGTCCCCCTTCCGAATCTCGCTCTGGGAGAAGAAGAAGGTCCCAGCTAGAGGGGAACTTGTGTCCCGGAAAGAGATTTCACAGAGTTCTAACAGCTTCACAGTCCACTGACAGGGTGAGCCTGAAGCCCAGACAGTGATGGGCCACACCTTTTGGGGACTGCTAGATGTGCATAGCCTTGGTCCTTGATTTAGACCTTAATCTCACTCAGGACCCCAAAGATGAACTTGGGAGAGGTCACCCGCTCACTTTGTTCTTGACAATGTGGCCACATTGAATAAATCTCCTTTTCCAATTTCCACTATTATTAGACTCTTTTAATTGGCTTTTCAAGGATGGGTGGCTGAACCTGGGTTGAGGCACAGGCTATGACCCCCAAATCAGAGATGCTAGGATGGCTGCTAATGTCATTAAGCAGTAAGAACTTTTCAACTTCATGATAACCTCCTAGAGTCACTGTGTTCAGCCCACTGTTGTATTGTTTTGAGACAAAGTCCCACTCTGTAGCCCAGGCTGGCCTTAAACCTTTAGCAATCCTCTTACCTCAGCCTCTTGAGTGCTGGAATTGTGATGTGAGTTATGCGCAACTCCGGGCAGTCCCTTGTTAATCATAATATCATTACACCAGATGTGGCAGCATGTCAACATGGGAAGTTATCTCTGTGATAGGACAGCAAGCCCTTTGGGTAGTGATATAGCAGAAATGGTACAGTTTGTGTCATATGGTACAGTTTTTTAACTGGGAAGCTTATGGGATAAACTATACGTAGAATTACAGGTGAGAAACTAAAGATATTCCCATCTGCTTGTTTTGTTACTCTGATTTATTGAGGGAGACCATCTTCAGAGCGAGGTCGATGGAGGAGGCTGGAAGTCTGGGAGTGGAGAAAATCTGAAGCAGTCATGGCATGTGGTGGAAATGTTCAAACAATGACGCGTCCTTGTTAGAGCCCCGGTGGTAGCGAGACCAAGTGAGGCAGCAGGCAGTGACGATGCCCAGCCAGATTCATAAGTACTTAGGGCAGGAATAGAGATGCTGGACGCCTGAATCCACTCTGAGACTTCCCATGTCCAGATTGATGTAACCAGTAGGTAAAAGGGAGAAAACTGGAGAAGGTTGGCCAAAGAGGTTTATGTGAGAGATCATCAGAAGGAAATGGAACCGTTTTCCTTAAAAAATGCAGTGGGAGGCAGTTTTAAGAAGTGAGTGTCTCAGCCTGGAGGTGGTGGCACACACACCTTTAATCCTAGCACTTGGGGGCAGGGGAGAGGCAGGTGGATCTCTATGAGATTGAGGCCAGTACTGAGCGAGTTCTAGGATAGCCAGGGCTATTACACAGAGAAACTCTGTCTCGAAAAAACAAAACAAAACAAACAAATGAAGAAGAAGGAGGAGGAGGAGGAGGAAGAGGAGGAGGAGGAGGAGGAGGAGGAGGAGGAGGAGGAGGAAGAAGCATCTGTCTTGCCCTCTGTTTTCATGATGGCCAAACAGAAAATCAAAGGGTCTTCTTCTCTCACCTCTTCAATTCCTGCCTGAGATGAGATGTAGGTTCTGTCTTTGCTGGCTGCCAGGCTGGGTTGTTAGCAGCTTGGAGATGGTGCCAACAGGAATCTCTGGAAACAGCTCTCTTCCCGGAGTTCTCGTGCTTGGAGCTCTGAAGTTTCGTGCTCCTTTGTCTTGTCAGCATGCTAAGATTTACTGATCTGTGTAAAAATACTATTTAGAGAACTACTTCCTTGGAGGTCCCTTTTCTTACATAGGATGGACACCATGTCATGACGATACACTTGCTGCTGTTTCGTTTTTTCCTCTTGGTTAACCTATCTTTTATCAACAGGGACCTATGCCTACCATGAACTCTCAAGGGTTGAAAAATGAAGCTGTACTTCTCCTTTTCACACACAAGGTGAGAAAAATGAAACCAGGGAAAGACGAAGAAAGAAAGAGAAATAAGGGGGTAAAAATGTATAAATTGGGATAGCAGACACGGTTAGGCAAGCTGCAGGGTGTGGTGATATTTTATTTGTGCTTTAATAAATAAAGCTTGCCTGGAGATCAGAGGATAAAGGACAGCCATTATAAGTAAACAAAGAAGTCAGGCAGTGGTAGCACACGCCCTTCATCCTATCACTTAGCAGGCAGGATCTCTACTAAAGAACAGAGCCAAGCCGTGGTGACACACGCCTTTAATCCCAGTACCAACCCTAGGGTCTGTAGGTCTGTACAGACAGACAGAAAGTGACAGAGCTGGGTAGGAAGAGGAAGTGATGTAGCTGAACAGAGAGAGCAAATCAGATGGCAGAACAGCAAGGCATATGGACGTGGGTAGACAGGAAGTAACTCGCTTTTGGAAGCTGCAGAGTTGGTGAGGTAAGGTTGGCTGGGGGCTTTCCCTATTTCCATGATCTCTCTAAGGCTTTCACTCCTATATTTGGCTCCATGTTTTTTATTTAATAAGATCATTTAGAATTCATCTACAGCAGGGAGATGATGAAACAGCTGAATCGACATGATGTCTTGGGGTGATGGGTAGATTGGAGGAGGATGTGATTATAAATATTTCCTGTATCATAACATCCCTATTCCAGAAACATCAAACTGTCTTCCAGCTAGAGAATTTTATTATGGAATCATGCAATGGGGCCAGAAGAAATGGCTGCATGTCAAATAGTCTGGTCTGAGTGTTCTATTTTCAACTTGTTGGTTGTGTGACAATGTCTGCCCTACAAAGGGAAAATCATAATAGGACTTGTATTGTGGGTCCCTTGTGACAAACTGGGACAATCCACCGAAAGCTCTTAGTGCAGTGTTTCTCAACCTTCCTAATGCTGCAACCCTTTAATACACAATTTTTCATCTTGTCGTGACCCTCAGTCATAAAATTATTTCGTGGCTACTTCATAACTGTAATTTTGCTACTGTTAAGAATCACAATTTAGGGCCAGGCAATGGTGGCACAAGCCTTTAATCCCAGCACTCAGGAGGCACAGGCAGGCAGATGTCTGTGAGTTCCAGGCCAGCCTGGGCTAAACAGAGAATCCCTGTCTCAAAAACAAACGAACCAACCAAAACCAAAACCAACCTACCAAGCAAACAAAAGCACCATAATGTAAATATCTGCTTTGTAGGATATCTGATATGCAAGTCCTGTGAAAAGGTCCTTTGACCTCCAAAAGGGGTCGTAATCCACAGGTTGAGAACCCCTGTCTCAATGCTACACCGGGCACATACACAAATGTGGGTCCAAACAGGTCTCTTTAATTGAAAAAAGTGTGATGTCTAATCTTGGTTGTCAGCTTGACTACATTAGGGAGCAACTAAAACCCAAGCAGCCGGGCACACCTCTAAAGGATTTCCTTGACGGGATCATCTGATGTGAGAAGACTCACACCGACCCTGGGCAACCTCTTCTGGTGACAGCCCACATAAAAGGACATGGAAACCAGAAGTTTGGCTTCTTGCCTGCTTGCCCTCACTGTTGCTGGCAATTTCACCTACCCTGCTGCTCAGACATCCCTTCGCTGGCATTAGAACCTACTTCAGGATGCCAACATGCACTGAAGACCGGCTGAGACATCCAGCTTCTTGGACTGAACAACTACTGGGTTCTTGGCCTTTCTGTCAGGAGACAGCCATTGTTGGACTAGCAGGACCACAGCCTATAAGCCACTCCAATAAATCATATATATATATATATATATATATATATATATATATATATATATCCCATAGTCTGTTCCTCTAGAGAATCCTAATATACAGTGATATTTGGGGCACCATAAGTAACTCTTTTGTACATATACAGCTGATCCCCAGTATCCCTAATTTACCTCTGGTCATCAACACAAATTCTATGGCAGTCACATGGGCCTTGTTGTTAATGGCTACTGCAAACATGCCCCTCACCCTCAAAGACCCCTAAGCATCATTACTCTAATAGCAGATTACAAATTTTTCTTTCTTTCTTTTTAAAAAAGATTATTTGTTTTTATTTATGAGTGTTTTGCCTCTATGTATGTATATGCACCATGTTCATGCCTGGTGTCCAAAAAGGCCATAAGAGGCCGTCATATCTCCTGGAACTTGAGTTATAGACAGTTGTGATCTGCCATGTATGAACCCAGGTGCTTTGTGAGAGCAGCAAGTGATTTTTTTTTGCATTTGATTGAATTTTTTTATTAAGGAAATTCCTTATTCATTTTACATACCAATCATAGATCCCCCTCTTCCCTCCTCTTGCCCCTTCATCCTCCCCCAACAACCCACCCCCCCATTCCCTCCTATAAGAAGGTAAGGCCTCCCATGGGGAGTCAGCAGAGTCTGGTACATTCAGTAGAGGCAGGACCAAGCCCCCCCCCTCTGCCTCAAGGCTGTGTGAGGAGTCCTACCATAGGTAGTGGGCTCCAAAGAGCCTGCAGCCAATGATCTTAACAGATGAGCTATCATCTCTCCAGCCCCTGGAAATTTATCTTATAGCTACATAAAATTACCAGCACAAAACTAAATTCTGTCTTAAACATTTAAGTACTATAAAGGCATGATGGGAAAGATAATACTTTTTATTAACTTTATTCAAATATTTATTATTACCTGTGAGGAGGTATCTTCATTCAACAATAAACATCATTTCTTTTGCTTTCTTTCTTTGTTCTCTCTCTCTCTCTCTCTCTCTCTCTCTCTCTTTTGAAACAGGGTTTCCCTGTGTACCAGCCCTGGTTGTCTTCCACTTGTCAACAATGCTGGCCTCAAACTCACAGAAGTCTGCCTGTCGCTGACTCTCCAGGGCTGGGATTAAAGGTGTGCACCACCACTGCCCTATTGTGTTGTGAAATTAAGGAACTGAATAAGACTTTGTGTCTTCTAGAAGGTAGTCAATCTGGATATGGAGAGAACCACACATTAACTGTAACGTGAGAAACCCAATCTCAGAGGAATAACAAGAGTGAATGGGAAGGGAGAGGAAAGGTTGGTTATTCTGCCTGGGAAAATCAAATAAATGAACCTGTCCTTCAGTAGTTCTGTTTATGTTAAGCTTGTTCAAATGCCTTCTCTGCTTTAAAGAGTGGATAAGAAGAATCAAGGACAAAGGAGGATTCTGGAATGTGGGAGCCAACCCAGAAGAAGTATGTAGGCTGTTTCAGAAGATTCTGCCTGGAGGGAAGACAGGTGAACGCAGAAAGAGCAGCGTGGGAGGGGGTGGGTAGATTCTCCCAGGGGTACATTCACGGGTGTTTGCAGGAAGTGCATGTTTGAAATCACTCAGTGATTACAGCCTACCCTAAATCAGGACAGCTAGCAAGGACATACTGGGATCAGAATGTATGTAGAGTACTCAGCTCGAACCCGAGAGTCCCTTGCCCTCCCTGAACATCAAACCTTAATACAACCATGGCTTGCCATCCAATTCTTGGTCTGCAGGAAGTGACAGAGTAACAGGTTAACATAAAATAAAATAAGAATGCAGTCAGTCACTTCTTGAGTGTGGGACAGTCTACAACGAAAGCACTAAAGAAAATGAATTTCAAAGAGATTAAATTCAAAGAGAAAAACTTTTTCAGGTTCTTATTTCCTTGAGTCAACTCTACACATTTTTAAATGACTTATTTGTTTTGATTTTATGTGCATTGATTGGTGTTTTGCCTGTATGCATGTCTATGTGAGGTGTGGGATCCCCTGGAACTGGAGTTACAGGCAGCTGTGAGCTACTGTGTGACTGCTGGGAATCGAACTGGGACCTTCTGGAAGATCAGCCAATGCTCTTAATTGCTGAGCCATCTCTCCAGCCCCGACTCTCTATATTTTTAATATTTAGAGAACTTTAAACTGAGAATTTGATTAATTAAAGGAGTTGATGTTATCCAGGTGACGGTGGCATTATGTTGGGTGAGAAAGATCCTAGTTTTTTTCTTCCTGTAAGATTCACAATGAGGTACAATTACATAAAGTCCTAGGCATGCTTTGGAGTATTCGGGTTGTGTTTTTAGGTGGAAGGGGATTAGTATAGTATCATGCAGACAGTTGTGAAGTTGATTGATAGGGTTGTGAGAGTTCACTGAATTCTATTTAAAAGGATGCTGAGAAGCTCGGAATTAAAACAGTAAAAGTAGGCTACATCTGAGCAAATACGTAACATTGTCAGGAGGAGAGAAGACATGGCAGGTGGTGGAAGTGCAGACCTGAGCAGCTGCTCCAGGGGAGCAGAGTTCCCTGGTGAAGACATGGCAGGTGGTGGAAGTGCAGACCTGAGCAGCTGCTCCAGGGGAGCAGAGTTCCCTGGTGTACGTGTTACCTGGTGTTGCTAGAGTGGACAGCGGAAGCTGTCTAGTGCCCACCAGGTAACAAGACTTTGTTGATATCAATTTTCTAGTGTGACTACATAATGAACTGTTTCAGATGCCCCTATGTATTTCCTAAAGCAGAGTCTTGCCCTGAGGACAGCAACTTAAGAAAGGGTTTGATTTAGCTCACAGTTCAAGAGTCCTCGTATAGTAATTGCCTCTGAACTGAAATATCTCATCCCTGAGGGAAGCTCACTGAGACCCAGGAAATCACTGTAAGCAAGTTATGGTGGCCACCAGTAAGGACAACTGAGGAGAGACCTTCCTTCGTGTCGACTGCCTGCAAGATGCAGAGAGCACCTTACAAGCTCAGCTTTTATGAGTCACCACCCACCATCAGGTGATACAGCTGCTTTTGGGCCACCCCCGCTCCCATGAGTCACCTGTCACTCATACTCGTGGAAGAACTCATTGGTTCACCAAGTTGGAGCTCAGTGGTGTTATTACTTTGGCCTGTGGTCAGTTTCCTATCTGGTGTCACTAGATGTTTGTTCATGTCTCCCAGGAACAGTGTCACACAACAAGGGTATATAGTCAACCATAACAGGAAAGTCGTAGCAACAGGAGCCTGAGACAGCTGGTCACCCTGCATCTGCATTCAAAAAGTAGAGACCACTGAATGCTTATGTCCAGCTCACTTCTCTTTTCTATGTAGCATAGGAACCTGCACACAGAGCAGGTGGTGGGGTCTTCCTAACTCAATGTAATCAAGATAATCCCCCAGGATATGCCCAAAGACCCATCTCCCAGGTAATTGTGGATCTCATCAAGTTGACATTTAAGATGAATCATCATGACTACCCAACATATTGCCTGAAGTATTGACTGTTGGAGAATGTCTCTTTACTGTTCTCCTGGAATGTGGAACACACACTGTCTACTACATACTCTGAAGCCATAGCGCATGGGTCAGGGAATCACAACCTTCAGTGGGAATGGCTCCATTGTTGTATTTATTAATTCACCTTCACTGTTTTCACCCTGGCTCTTAGCTGATCAGTAGAATTCATCCGGGAGGTGTGTTTTAATCCCAAAGATGGAAGGAGAAAGACCACCAACCCAAATCATCATGACCAAATTCATGAAAGGAAGCAATTAACTCAAGCAAGCGTTTTTATTTGTGTTCATGGACTGCCTCCCCCTAAGGCGAGGTTTGAGAGGTTAGCATTGAATGTGAAGAAGACAAGGCTTTCATAGCTCAGGTGTAGGGGGTTTCCAAATGGCGCGGGGGGGGGGGGGGTTGGCAGGCAAAATAGGTGGGGTTATAGGATCAGGACAAACAAGTCAGTCCTAACAAACAAAGACATGATGGTAAGGTGGGCGTAACAAGGTAGTCATAACAACAGTTAGTCATAACAGGGTAGTCATAGGTGGTCATAAAATCTTTTGAACCAAAGGTAGGGTTGCAAGTGGTTATAAACAACGTTTTGAAACAAAGACATGATTGCCATTCCTGGAACAGGCAGTACAGGACCATTTGTAGTTAAGGTTACAGATAGGGCATAGCCCAATCCTTGAGAAACAGAGGTTTGATCATAAACAGAATGAAACTAGTTTGTCTATATATAAGATGGCTTTTGAGCCTAGGATGGAGGCAGGCTGGTTCTTCAGTGTGGTCATCAGATGCACAATAGATCCCTGGCTTCCAAAGATGAAGTACTGCTTGGTTATTCCAAGTTGTTAATCCTACTTAACCAAAACTACTGGTAAAAATGATTGATCCAATTCTTCAAGAAAGTACACTCCCAGTGGAGGGTGTGTGTGTACAAATCAAACACTGGAACTCAGATAGGGTACCTCTTAGCCCTTCCAGGCCCAATCACAAAGGTTAATTGACAACTATGGCAGCCCAAAGGAAACAAAACTATTGGGGGTCATACACTTCAGAAAAGATGATTTCAGTCACTCCATGAGGGAAAGAAATTTAGCTGGTTGAGGCCAGGCTGAAGGCAAGGGGAACGTGGATGCTGGAAGAGACCCAGAAACATTCTACAGCCTTCTGATGGATTGTAAAGATAAGGATTTAGTAGCTTTCTGTGCTTCCTGTTTGTGTGTATTTCTGTGCACATGGTAACCATTTCTAATCTCTCTCCTGCTCACTATTAATTTATCAGCTATGGGAGATTAACTTTAGATTTGTACTGTAAGGAAACAGAACATTCCATTGGGTTGTGATCATGTAGTAGGATTATAGCTTGAGTTTCTGGGGAGAAAGGAACTACCATGTATTCACCCCAGATCGGGCATGGATGACACACCAAAGAACCCATCCTACACTTAGAGCTTCGTGAGCCAATTGGTGTATTCTTATTAACAGGAGCATGACCGGGGTGGGGGAACACCTCAGGGCAGTTGGAACACTGAAAAACTGTAAAGGCTAAAACAGGCTGCATCCCTGGAGCTGCCTGTTCAACTTGCAGGCAGCCTCCCAGAAGAGTGTCTTTCCCCACAGCAACTGCTCACTGCCCATATGACTGTGGAGAGGGACCCGAGTCTTGTAACTTTCTGCACCTGAGCATGCTGATTTTCTATAGTTTTCCAGGTCCTGTGAGCATCCCTCCTCCCTCCAAGGATGTTGCAGCATGGAGGAAATAGCTGCACAGCAAGGGATCATCTGCTGACTCTAGGACAACCCATCTTCCAGTTGGGGGGAATGTCTTTGTTGTGGGATATTTGTACACTGGGTGAAGATGCATGGCTGTGATTGGTGTAATAAAAAGCTGAATGGCCAATAGCTGGGCAGGAGGTAGAGGCGGGACTTCTGGGCAGAGAAAGGAAAGCTGAGAGGAGGAGTCTAGGTGCAGGATTTCGCCAGCAGATCGTTTGGGGAGCAAGTTGGATGTGCCATACTAAGAAGAGGTAACCCAGCTATGTGACAAAGTGTAGATTAAAAACTGTGGGTGGATTACATTATAAGAGTTAGTTGGGAAAAGGCCTAAGCTAAGGCCAAGCTTTCATAATTAATAATAAGTCTCCAGGTCATTATTTGCTGGCTGGCGGTACAAAGATAGTCCAACCGAAAAGCTTGCTACATGTCTTCACTGAGGGGACATCGTGGATGGAAACAGCACTGTGATGTTCTGGGGGAGCTGACAAGCAATGGAAACAAGAGCATGGGGATGGACAGTGCTGGGCCCAGTTTCTTCCCTTTCAGCTCCCGTGTGTTTCCTTCCAATACAGAGCTGGGCCCTTGAAACACTTCTCCTTTGCCAGCTCACACGTTATTTCATCAGCAAGGGCAGAAAGAGGGCTCTCACAAGAGGAAGTAGTCTCCTTCCTGGTCATGGTCCTTGAAGGCATTGGCTTTGAGTCTAGTACTTAGAGCAGAAGTTCTTCTCAGTTAAACTCAGCTGGTGGAAGGGCAAATTCCTCATGAGTTTCAGTAATGCCCTGCAGGTGGCTTCTGAGTGTCACTTGGGCACTCTAGAGAGCCTGAAAGACACCCAGTGCTGTTCACCTCTGGCGAATTGTGTGGGCATCCCAGAAAGTAGCTTCTGAGAGAATGTTGGCAGCATCCTAGTTGTTATCTTCACAGAAGGGTCTATGTCATCCTGCTGAAGGGCTTTTGTAGCCAGAAGTTTTCCTGTGCCCCCCCCCCCAGTCCACAGCTGCTCAGACCCAAGTAAACACACAGAGGCTTATATTAATTAAAACTGCTCAGCCATTAGCTCAGACTTACTACTGACTAGCTCTTACATTTAAACTCAGCCCATTTCTGTTAATCTATATGTTGCCGCATTTTCCGTGGCTTTACCTGTGTGCCATTACATGCGCTCCCTGAATGGCAGGCAGGCATCTCCTGACTCAGCCTTCTTCTTCCCAGAATTCTCCTTGTGCCTTCTTCTTCCCAGAATTCTCCTTATCTGCTTATCCCACCTATACTTCCTGCCTGTCTACTGGCCAATCAGTGTTTTATTAAACCAGTGTACAAAATCATTATCCCACAGCAGGCTTCCTATCATATTACCTGGGGAGCCTTGCAGATGCCTGCCCTGCACACTTGGCGGTGCCTCAGCAGGCAACTGAATCTTGCTAGCACCCCAGTGGGTGGCTTTACATTTGCAGCCTCATCATGTGGCACCTTAGCACACTTCTTAACCATCCAATGAGCCTCGGCTACACCCTCTTACTGAGTTCTGAGCCCCAGACTAGACCAGGGTCTTACTCCGTAGCCTAAACAGGCCTCAAATTCACAGCCTTCTTACTGCCTGTGTTCTGGGATTTGAGCATGCCCCCTATGCCTGGCTGATGTGTACAATTCATTGATTCTGCATGTATAGCCAAAGTGCTCAGTAAATAGCCCTTAGACTGGAGAGCCGTTGCAGCCCATATTTAAGTTTCCCAACAGCTTCAGGTCAAGAGATATAAATAGGAAAACTCCCCCTCCCCGTCCCCTCCACAGATGTGTTGTTGTAAAACTCCCACCTTTTCCTCATGGGAGATTTCCCTGCAGCAGCCCAAGCAGACTCCATAAGCTCTCTTACCCTGCCAGGCTTACCCAGCTCTCCTTGCTCATTTGGATGAGATGTTTAGCCGTGCCTTAGACGGAGATGTAACCAAAGTCTAGCAACCGGCCTTCTTTCTGTGTGTTTCCCTCCTCCTGGCTGGGGATTGTGGGTGGGAGGGACACTCAAGCATTCCCACCAGGAGGTAGTTCACACCTAAGAGGCTGCTCTTCCGCCCTCTTTGGGCTTGATGCATGTTAGAGAAGGATTGTGCAGATTAGGAAATCACAGTCTGTAGCCTGTGAGAGAGGGACAGCTTTATTACCACATAGCCCATGCTCATACCTCATCATCTACAGGTCTAACAGCAGAAGTGAATAATTGCAATCGAAACCATGTGACTCACAAAGTCCGAAACATTTGCTCTCTAGCTCATCACAGAACCAGTTTGCTCAGCCCCAGGTGAGACAAAGAACCATGACTGATTTGTTGGTTGATTGCTGGAACCAAGAGCAGGAACTCAACTTCAAGTCAATAGCTTCTTATACATTTTAATTATGAGTATATTTTATACATGCATTTATATGTATGCACATGTGTACATATGCATGTATTATTCATGCTTGGGTTCTTATTTTAGTTATTGGGTCACAATATATTACTGTCATAATTTTGATGCAGTAGGAGAGTTCAAGGTAACTCCTGAACCTGTGACACACGTTGTCACCCTTTTAGGACTCTTGTACCACACGTCACAACAGCATGCTCTGGGCTCATCTCAGGGCTTCCCTGCCTAAGCTCTGGAACCAGTTATGTTCCAGGGAGACTGTGACAGACTAGAATTTTCCCAGGGCTAGAAAAATAAATGATGAAAGCAAACCCTAACATCCAGGTAGTCTTTGTGGTCACCTGCAGATGGCAAAATTGCGGTGCAAAGTATCCCATCAGGCAGGCCTTCCTGACAACCTCGTCTAATGAAGCCCTCATCCCCCACCCCACCCCACCTGTGCTCCTGTGCCACCACATTGTTCTGGTGGCTTTGGAGTGCTCTGTTAAAACTTCATGGTATATTTCAGAATTTTGGTTTCTCTCTCCATCTAGAATAGAAAGGACCTGCCTTCTTCTTTTTTTTTTTTTAAATGGTGACTAAGAGAGATCACACTTGACTTGTTTCAAGTATCATATTTGACATGTGACTCATATCAAAGGTAGATCACTTAGTATCATTCACATCCTGTTGCTAGACAACCTGATGCGAACTGCCCCTGATAAATCGCCAACTTACTTGTGATAAGTTCTGTGATTTTGCCTGTTGGTCTCCAATAATGAGCTCAGTTTCCTAGCAGGCAGGAAGCAGCTGTCTTTGCAGATAGCCAGAATCAGATGCACAACTTGACGTGTAGAGGTGGGAACTCCTTGGAGGAAGTAGATTGCAGGGAGCGTATCTTTGTGACCTCTATCTTGTTCTGGCTCCCACCTGCATCCCTTTTCTGTTTTCCAGATGCTCTGCTACACCTTTTTCCCCTAGGCTAGACTGACACTTCCAAATACTGTGACCCTAAACAAATCCTTCTGCCTTTAAACTGCTTTCCTTGAGCATTTGATCATAGTGACTGACAGAAAGCCTGACCAGCACAGCAGACTATTTTAAAATGACTTATGCCTGGTAAAACGCTTGCTCACTAAACGTGACTACCTGAGTTTGGATACCCAGCATCCATGTATAAGCCAGAGAAGGCGGGGGCATGCCTAGAACTCCAATGCAAGGGAGGAGTGGAGACAGGTGGATCCCGGGGGCTCATCAGCCAGCCAGTCCAGCCCAAATGGCAAGCTCAAAGTTCTATGAAAGACAGCTTCCGTGCATACATACATACATACATACATACATACATACAACACTCACAAATGCATAAATAAAACCAATTTTCTATTTCATTCTGCTGTTCTCAATCACTCTCCCCTCACCCCACAAAGGGAAAGGTCCATTATTGTTTTTAGTGGACAGATGATTTTAGACAGCTACACATACATAGAAGTGTTTCATGTGTCCTTTTTAAAGCTGGGGTAACTGAACCATTGAGCATGTTCCTTAGTGCATATTAACCAGGTATGAAATAAACACACATACTATTCCTGAAGGTGGAAAACAATATATTAATTTATTTCCAAGAAAACAAAAACAGAAAACGTCAACACCAAAACAGATACCGTAGATGAGGGTACCTCCACAGCTAGCTCACTGGCTCAAATGCTACTCTCTTCCAATATTAAAGTATCTACGACAAAGAGGTGACCAGCAATAGGCATGTAAACTTCTATTCCAGAAAATTTTCTCATTTTCCATGAGAGATCCAGTGTAAAACATTTCTTTTCAGGTGCTACCATCCAAATAACATAAAAAAGAGACCCGTCTTAGACTTCACCAAGTGCATCCCTGCCTTTTGACCTTTTATTACTCGACACAATCCCATTTTGTTTTTCAGTGGAAGGAAAAAGAAAGTTTTACATGAAAATGATTCCCTTTAAAGATGATTAAATGCAGCAGGCACAATTACAGCACAAGAATGACATTGTGGTAAGTGACATCATTTAAAGTAAGCATTTTTTCATTAGAACAAATAAATATTTAGGAACACATTTTTTAAGATTGCATCTATTCATTTGTGTGTTAGGGAGTGACTATGTGCAACAACATGTGTGTTGTGGTCAGAGAGTAACTTGTGGGAGTGAACTCTCTCCCTCCATTGTGTGGGTCCCAGGAATTGAACTTGGGTTGTTAGGCTTGGCAGCAAGCACCTGCACTTGCTGAGTCCTGACCTCACATTTTTCTGAATGACAGAACTTTTTCTCCAAATTAACATTGAGTCCATTCTTAAACTCTGCCTTCTCTGGAGATATTAAGTATGGCTTTATTTGACCTTCTCTCAACAACCCTAAGGAAATGAGCTGCGAGGATCAGCCTAAATTCTAAGAATTTGCTTCCTAATGATCATTAGCTATTCTAAGGCTTGTTACATCATCTGCAAGATACAGATACTCACGTCACCCTCGAGAGAGGTGTGAGTTTTGAATAAATGAGACAAGAAGGAGCTGGTGGGGGACAAGAGACTTTAGCTTACGTTTCCTCCTGCCCCCATGTCTCTGGATTAATCTGACTGTAATTACTGATCCCTACGGCCTGATGGAATATGCAGCCAGAACAGGGCACCTGTGCAGTGTAGCCATTTTGTAAGACTCTAGAGCAGGGTTTCCAAAGCCGATACCACTACCCAGTTTTATAGCGGAGGAAATACCTTGTGTCAACATGTGACCCTCTTGTGCCAACATGTGTCTGGAGGATCACAGATGTTCAAGAGGCATTTAGTGAATGCAGGCTCAGTCAATGAATAGTGAGTGAGTGGAAAAGGACATAGACGTCCATCTACAATCGAAAGCTCTTAAGCATCCAGGAACACCTGTCAGCACCAATCATTGCAAGCTACCTGGACGCCTTCCTGGCGTGGTTAAAGCTGTGTACAACAGAACCAGGTCCCTATCTCTCATATAGAAACGGAACTCCAGAAGTGAATTGTTCACAGGTTCCAGACCCACACAATAGCACCTTTCCTGTGGGAAAGAAAACAATTCCCTCATTCCTGTGAGGATGTTTCAGTGTTCTCTGTGAATATTCTGGAACAGAACATGGAAATGCTCGGCATCCCTGAGGTCCTCTTCCTGCAGCCACAGAGTGGCTCCTGTCTTAAGGGCATGTTCTGTCACTTCATGGCTTTGTACTGTAAGCACAACTTCAGACACAAGTAAACTGAAAATGCCAGTGTTCACAGGCCTGTTTGTGCTGCTGGAGACGAAGTCCAAGTCCACACATGTCAATCAAATGCTCAGACACTGTACTCTATAGTTCCTCAGCTCCTCGAGATCAGTTCCTTGTGTTTGTTTGTCTTTTGTTTTTCAAGACCGGATTCTCTGTGTAGCCCTGGCTGTCCTGGAACTGGCTCGATATAGACGAGGCTGGACTCATAGACCCGCCTGCCTTTGCCTCCCAAGTGCTGGGATTAAAGGCCTGCCCCACCACCTCCAATCAGTCCTTGATTAAATGAAAGTGGTGAGTTACTAGAAAGCTCTCTCTATGCCTATGTTTGGCTGAATGCATAGTTGCTACCAAGATGGTATAAAAGCTTCCTCCTCAAATAAACCAAGGGTTGATATTCTTAGACAGTATTCCCACCATTCTCCTTTCTGGCAGGATACACTAATATGAGTATCTGGCACAGAGAACCGCTGCATTTAAATTTATCATCGACCACAGTAAGCCGACTAAGAGGCAGATGAGCATCAAGTGACTGCCAGACATCAGAGCCAGGTGTGGTTGTACACACTTGTAATAGCAGCACTTGCAGGGGGTGGGGGCGATGGGGGGTGGGGGGGAGGTGGGAGAACCGAGTTCAAGGCCATCCTGGGCTACCTGGCAAGATCCAGGGTATGCAGAGATATATAGCAAGAGCTTGTCTTTAAAAAAGAAGAAAAAAGAAGAGGCGGAGGAGGAAGGGAAGACATTCAAATGAAATGGCCAGGCTAGATAAAAACACCAGGACAGCAGACCCAGCCATCTGGTCAGTGAATGTATCACAGTGTCCAGTGGATATTTTAAGCATAGCCATGAAGCCAAGTCCTGATATTTTCCTGAAACCCGTTTTTGAAGCCTCCAGCATAGCCAAGGCAAGAGTCTCTTGGAGAGGAAGGCTCTTCTTTACGCCTTTGATTTCCCACCAGGCCAGAGCTGCTGCGGATCAAAAATACCAGCTGGGTTGTATGGCAGTTTCACTCTGATTGAGGGTTCTCTCTCGAAGCCGCAGCTCCAGGCACTCCACAGTAAGAGGGTACGTGTTGAGCTCAAATTTGTTAGCAAATAGGCTTTGTGAATTTACTAGCCATTTTAAGTCTCCATTTCCATAGATGCAAATGCCGTGTACATAGTGACCTGTTGGGGAGACAGGGCAGAAAAACAGTTAGACATGCCTGTCTTTAGAAGTCACCAGGGGTGAACTAGAGATAGCAGAAACCTAATCAAGTATGATGAAATGCTAATGAAACATGACTGGGCTGCCCTAGCCCACCAGGAGCTTAAACCGCTTAGGACAAACGGCACAAATATGCACTTGAATAAGACGGCATCGAACACAATGAAAACAGCATCCTAGAGCAGTTCATGCATGAGCACATGAGAGTTACAGGTAAGGTCTAGAAGCACGGGGACGAAAGAGGTCCTTTTGGTTTGTGTTGTCTCTTCTCTGAGCTCTGATGAAAGTGTCACCTCCACCTTTGAGTGCCAGCTAGAGTAAGCCTTGCTAAGGAAGCATGTCAGCAGTGGACTCTGAGACAGAGTTTCTCTGTGTAGCCCAGGCTGGCCTTCAGTTAGCAACCCTATTGCCTTGTCTCCTGAGTACTGGGGTTGCATATGGCACTCTTGTGCCAGGATGGCACTGAAGTTCTCAATCTCACCCCTTCACGACTGCTCCTCTCCAAACTGTCCCCAGCATGCTCTGCAGCCACCACTGTGGCCCACGCTGCTTCCGTCTTCCCGTCTGGACTGCTCTGAAGGGCGGCTCCTCCGGTGACTCCTTTGCCCTGTTACACACACACACACACACACACACACACACACACACATACACACACACAGCGTGGCAGCCAGAGAGATTCAGTGAACACGCAGGTGGACTGATCTCTGCTCTGAACTCTCAGCACTGGCATTTGAGACTCCTGACCCTGGTCACTCTTTGCTCTTCTTCAACCACTTCCAACACACCAACCATTTCCCCTGTCAGTTCCAAGCACAGCAGGCCCACTCTCACTGACTCTCCCAGGGGCTACCCCCACACCCCTGTAACCCTGATCTCTCCTAGATAATGGACAGCCCAGTGCTGGACACCACCTCAAGGTCATGTTCTCAGTAAGGCCCTCCCTACCACATTTCCCTCATTCATTTGTGTTCGCTATTTGTTACCAATTGATGTGTGTTACGTGCACATGTGTAAACACAAAGGAATGCACGCATAGATGTGTGTATCATATAGGTAATGTGCATATAAATATCATACAGTATAATTATACATAAACCTTCCAAATTTATGATTTCATCTATACATTCATTTTTATGTTTCATAAATATGTCTTAAACTGTGTAAGACTATAAATGACATACATAAATATTTTATGATATAGGTGACATCTGTTTGCAGTGTTATATACATATATGAAGGGAAGGGAAATACTATTTCTTGTCCTTTCTAGGCAATGCCTTGCTTCTCATGGGCTGGACTACATGCTCCAGAAAAGCAGAGATTTTAGATCATTTGCTCCCTTCTGCATCTTCTGCCTCTGGAACAATGACTGGTAAATATTTCAGCATTACATGAGTAACTGTTGAGTGATGGGCTGGAGAAGGCTAAGATGGAGGTGAGCAGCTGGGTTCATCTGTGAAGTATAAGGTGACTGGGAGTGGTTTTGGAAAAACTGAAGGCAGTGTCTCTGGAAACACCAGAAAGGGGAAACTTCTGTTTGAATAAAGGATTCTGCTGGGGATGAGTTGGAAACAAGAATGGTGGATAGCTGGAACGGTCCCCAGAGCTCCGTGACCATGTCAGGAGGGTCATTAAATGTCAGAGCCAGGGTCCCAGCCCCAATAAGCCAGGTCCAACCACCTATCTTTAGTAAGCCAAACAAATGATGAGAAGCAGAAAAAGGAAATTTATTAAATGTGGCCACATTGAGAAGAAGGACAAGGAGACCCAGTGACTGGCCCTACATACATCTGTGGGGTTTAAGGGAGGACCAGAGGCATGAAGCAGTCCCAGTCATGGTGTGGTCCCACCCAGCACTGACCCATCTCTGTCTCTCCAGCCAGGTGGTCGCACATGCTATCAGGCCTGTGTGACATGTCTACCAGGGAGACAAGCTCTCCCACTGACTGGCACCAGGCTTCGGCCTTTTCCTTCTCCCAGCAGGAGATTCCTGGGTAGTTCCAATGCCTTGGGGTGCTTTGTTTCAAGTGTCTAAAGACAGGGTGAACACTTGAGTGTCCTTCCAGAACCTCTTCTATGTTGCATTATTGAGTCACTGCGGTGATGCCCTGCACCATCCCAATCCCTCTGGAGTCTGCCTCTTTCTTCTCTCTACGTACTGATTTGAAGGACAGTGTTTACACCCTTAACTGCACAAAGCTTTCACGTGGCCATTGGCATAGCAGATATTTTAAGAAGAAAGATGAATATGAGTCTGAGGTGGGCTTGGGCCACTCGGGTCCTGTCCAGTTAGCTTGGTTCCTAGCTGGTGATCAATAAGGGTACCTACAAAAACGTAAGGCTGACCAGTCTACACCTTCTTGTCTAAGCAGGGACAGGGCACGGGCAAAGGCAGAGAGAAGAGGCTGCAGGCCAGTCTGGACTGGAGGGATAGTAGCTTCTCTGATAGGGGAAAGCTACAGCTCAAGGTAATGATGCCATCTGGGTGATGGTGTGGACAAGGCAGATCAGAGGGGACTGTAGGAAGGCTAGGGAGGCAGAGTGGGGCTGGCTTGAGGATGTGGTGAGGATGATGTACACAGAAACCTGCCTGGGTTTTTGTTTTTTTGAGACAAGATCTCATTATGTATCTCTGGCTATCCTGAAACTCACTATGTAGACCTGGCTGGCCTTGAACTCATAGAGATCCACTTGCCTCTGCCTCCCTAGTGCTGGGATTAAAGGCGTGTGCCACTCTTTCCAGCTCTGACTGGGGATTTTGTGAGAGGGAATTAGGATACAGTCAAAAGACCTAGAGGATACAGGGAGAAGAGGTCATTGAAAAGTCACAGGAGAAAGGCCAAGAAAGGAGCCAATTTCGTGACACGTGATCTTGCATTTCCAGTCAGAAAAATGAGGACATTTCTGATAGGTAAGTTGTCCAACCATGCTGCGTTGTTACAGCAGCATAAACAGGTAGACACACACCTGCTCACTATGTGCTAGGTAGTATTGGGAGTGGATGATGCCCAGGCCAGATGGGATTCCTTCTTCATGAGGGTCAATAGAAAGGACAATGACTAGCGGCACATCTCTGCAATCCCAGCACTTAGGAGACAGAAGAGGGAGAACTCAGATCTCAAGGTCTTCCTTGGCTACACAGCAAGTTCTGAGTGACTCTGGAATACACGAGACCCTGTCCCATTCCACCCCCCAACCCCCCCCCCCCCCCCCCCCCCCCCCCCCGCCACAAAAGGCGCTGACTTAGGGTCTCCAGTTCTTGTCTGTTTAGGGAAGAGTCTTTTCTCCTTGTTGTCACCTGCCATATGCCAGAGTGGTCACAAACACCTGAAGCTCTCCAAGTCACTCCTGGCCTGTGTGTGGAGGGAAGAGCGTGATGGGGAGGGGGCAAAGTGTGAGCATGCTCTGTCACAAGGTCGTGACATCACCTGTCCCAGCTCCTGCACTCCCGAAAGGAACAGTAAGCAAGGGGCAATGAGAAATAAAAAATTAGCAAGAACAAAGTTCATTTTTAACTTGAAAGTACTATCTCTCCCTGGCAGTTCTAAGATTGAGAAGGTCTGAGAAATGGAAACTTATCTTCAGGAGACAACGTGATGAGGTATCCAGCTTTCTCTGCACAAGAACCCCTTCTATTAAGTTAACAATTATCCCCATGCCAACAACAATAGGCGGTATGGCCTGAGAGTGGGAGACCTTACCATGGCAGCCTCCATGCTGAGCTTCCATATCATTCCACTTTACAGCTCTGAGGTTGCCCGTCCAGGATGCGTTTGGCATGGCGCCGGGAACTCCTGCAATGATGATAAAATAGCAATAAGAACCAGGAGTTCAACCCACTACTCCGTCTCCACAGCTCTTCTTTGTCCTTCGGGCTGTTGTGTGCTGCATGGCAGTTATTCCTCTGGGTTCTACACACCAGACAGCAATAGCATTCTCTTCCCAAATGTGACAACCCGAACCGTCTGCAAACATTGCCCCATGTCCTGTGGGGAAGCAACACTGTTTCATTTGAGCAACACAGTGACAAGCCATCTCAATAAATTCTGGGTAAGCCTTGAAAGGGCCCACTTAGCCATACAGGGCAGTTATACCTTCAAATAATATGAAAGTCACGACTGGAAATGGTGTAGGGCTTTAGAATCCAGACCTCCAAGGCATTTGAGAGTATATATGGAAATCAATACAGGTATGAAAGAGGCATACTCTGCTTTGTGAGAACTGTAGCGTTTTCCACCATGACAAGTACAATTTATACAGAACGTTATTTAGAGGTCATGATGCAAGTATCTGTACCCAAAATGCAACAGTTCTCTCTTAGGAAACTCTAAGATGATAAAACATACTTTGGTAGGAAGGATAATGTCCCTTTTACACACACACACACACACACACACACACACACACACACGCACACGCACACGCACATGCACACACACACACACACTTCCACATTGTAAACACTGGAAACTGGATATGCTGTACTACATGGAAAAGCGGAATGATATTCCATGACAAAGAGGAATGGCGGTTGCTCTTCAGCTGGACTTCAAATAGGTTATCCTGAATTATTCTCTCTGCCGGCCAGCCCCACCTGTCCTTTCTCCTGCCTCACTATTGGCCATTCAGCTCTTTATTAGACCATCAGGTGTTTTAGACAGGCACAGTAATACAGCTTCACAGAGTTAAACAAATGCAACATAAACAAAAGTAACACACCTTAGAATACTATTCCCCAACAGTACTGACATGAACTTAAAATTTAAATAGACGCAGAACTATTTAAAGGGTGGGATGGAGGCAAGAGTCAGTCAGGCAGATGAAGCTAGTTTTTGCCAAAGCCTGATGTGGTTGATCATTATCTCTCCCTTGGTTGTGAAAGGTGGCTGGAAGAAGTCCTGATTGCTTGGTGAGCCAAGTCAGTTCCAGGAGATGAGTGCTCCTGCTTGGGTGTGATCTCACCGCAGGATAAACAGATCTATGAGGCTCTGCTGTTCCTAGAACTCAGCGCAAGTGCAGGTTCACTAGAGACTTCCAGTCATTTTGGGTGGAACATTGGAGTGGGGCTCCGGAGGAGAATGCTGTAAAAGCTGTTCCTGCTCCTATTTGTTGTTGTTTTTCAAGACAGGGTTTCTCTATTTAGGCCTGGCTGTCCTGGAGCTCACTTTGTAGACCAGGCTGGCCTTCAACTCAGAGATCCGCTTTGCCTTTGCCTCCCCAGTGCTGGGATTAAAGGCGTGCGCCGCCGCCGCCGCCGCCGCCGCCGCCGCCACCTGGCTTGTTTCTCTTATCTTTATGCCTATCCGCCTCCAGTGAGATGAGGCAGTTTTAGTAGCTTCGGATTTTTAGAGAGACACCTCTTAAGTGCAGAAGTGAGCAAAATTCAGGAGGCAGATGGCAAGAGAAGACAGACCAAAAAAAAGCCAGCCTGTCATCCGCTCTTAGTTACCCTGTGAAGAGATTCAGGGCTTCTCAGGTTCAGTTTATACTAACAGTGGGAGGAATTCAGGTGCAAAGGCAAGGAGCTGGAGGGGACCCAGAAGCAGATGGGAACGTGCCTCTGCAGCGTTACTTCCAAGCTCAGAACAGCAAGACAATCTCTGTATCGTTTAAACTCCCAGTGTTGTAGTAATCTTACGGGACTTTTTAGGGTGAAGGCTTGGGCTCTGCTGTCTACCTGTCAGCAGTATACCAGTCAATGATTAGACAGTAGTAACAGTGAGAAGGAGAGAAAGGTTTACTCAATGTGGTCACATTGGGCGGGACAAACCATGGGGTCCCGACCCAGCTCCCAAGCCAGTCCGTAAGTGTCCTGACATGAGGTTTGGGTTTAAATAGAGGGCAAGGAAGGAATGCACATAATCCAGCAGCTTTGGTTATGGTGAGGTCTCACCTATCACTGACTTTCTGCCCTGTTCTGTAAGGCAGTCAGAACTGTGGGAAATCGCTTCCTGGGATTTTCTTTTCCCTGCCAAGACAGTTAAGATGTAATTTATTACAGTCTCAGATGGAAAACTGACTACTGAAGAAGATGACATTTCCCAGTAAGGGTAGGGGGTTAAAGTCTAAGACTCAAACGTTGAAAGAAATTTAATAGAATCGCACATTTAAAGCTAACCCAACTCAGCTGGGCGGTGGTGGCACATGCCTTTATTCCCAGCAGTCAGGAGGCAGAGGCAGGTGGATCTCCTTGAGTCCTGGTTTACAGAGCAAGTTCCAGGACAGCCAAGGCTACACAGAGAAACCCTGCCTTGAAAAACCAAATACCAAAAAAAACTAACCCATCTCATTAAAGAAATTAATAAAAAGGTACATTTCAGAAGAAAACAGTCCCGTTCTGTCGCCCTGTTGACACATGATAATTGTGTACCAATCTAAATCTAGAATTGTACCAAGTCTCCCAACTAGAACCAATGGTTGTCACAGCCTTTCCTGTCAACAGTGTGGCTCTTTAACCCTGGGGCTCTCTACCAGGTAAGAATCCCGTTTCTTCTTTTGTCTTTTTGGTTTGTCTCCCAAGCTTGAAAGCATTTAACAGAAACTACAGCAGTTCCATCTCCTGCTGCTTTGTGTTAAACACCATAAAGGTTACCATAACGCTTCCCTATCCAAAAAGAAGCTCCCTTATTTTGCTCTTGATACGCACTCTCAAATAACCTAGAGCAAAAGGAAAAGAATTTATATGAAAACTTGCCTGGGGAGTGTGGAAAGCCAGGAAGGAATTCAGTTTATTTTACTCTGTCAAACTAATCTGTGTGTGATGTTTATGAGTCTATTTAGTTTAAATGACCACACCAGACAACTGAATAAAACATCTTCCTGACAATACAGCTCTTAATCTTTAAGCAAGTACATTTCTGAGAAGACATTTTCCTCTTTCACGCTCATCAATATTGATTGCACAAACTGAGAAATGCATTCCATTATCTCAGTGTTAGGACCAGCACATTTACAGCTAATGACTCCCTCCCTCCCTCCCTTTTGAATAGATACATACACTCATTAATCTCTAGCTAATGAAATTTCCAAACTCCTATACTTCCTGTCTGATGACATGTCTGTTTAAATATTATCTGTGGTTCAGGTTTGTGCATAAAATGACATTTATTAACAGAAGAGGGAGTGATTCTACTTTGTCTCCCCGCATCTCCCATAGACTCCTGGGGCATAGAGAAGTCTGGAAGAAAAGGGTGTAGCTCCTGGCATAAAGAGAGCTGTTCCAATGTGGTTCTTGGACTGCAACATTAGTATTACCTGGAAACGCACTGGAAATGCAAAATCTTGGGCCCCACCCAGACTTCTTGAAATAGGACCAGCACCGCCCTAGGATGGCAGAATCCTCTGCATGACCAAATGTAAGAAAACAAGAGGCACCCTCCAGAGGCCACAATGGCACCTTCCCTTCTCCTCCTTCTCTGAGATCCTTCCTTCATCCAGTTTCAAGCTTAATCCTGTTCTTTTTATCCTATCTCCCTCAAATCTGTTCCAATTGTCAAATTACTATTCTTATATCCTTTCTTCAATTTAATTAATTAGATTGCTAGGACATATGTATTTGTTTTTTATTTATTTTTATTTTATGTGTCTGGTATCCTAGGAGCCAGAAGAGAGCATTGGATCCCCTGGGGACTGGAGTTATTGGAGTTGTGAGCTGTCACATGGGTGCTAGGAGCCAAACCTAGGTCCTCTGCTCAGTATTATGGGGCATTTTTTAATGTCTGAGAGTTTCTGCACCAGTGAAGTGAGTAAATGAAGTCAGTGGCTTTTAGTTTAGAGTGTATGCAACCCACAGGGAGGAAAATTACATCATCATCTCTTTCTCACATTCATATAATACAAACAGAAGTTTCATAAATCAGGACTCTGGCTTCTTACACGCATGGCATTTGTTTACACTGCTATCTAGCTTCATTTAAATTTTGGTCAAAAAGTGCTAAGTAGGGGTTGGAGCATACACACAGCCCTGGGTTTCATCCTCAGCACTGAATAAACTGGGTGTGGTGGCTAAAGCCTGAATGCTGGTAATCCCACCACTCAGGAGGAGGGAGCAGGAGGATCAGAAGTTCAAAGCCATCCTCTACCACCTAGTGAGTTGAGGACCAACCTGGGACATATGAGATGCTGTCTCAAAAAAAAAAAAAATGACTAAAGTGTCTTCTGAATACTGTGATGGGAAATGACTGCTGTCTACCGGATTCAATGCTGTTGTTGTTGCTCCCATTATTACCACTATTGTGCTCACTGGGCAGGGGGCTGGGAGGATCCTCACAGGGCATCTGGGTAAGAGTTTATCTTTGATTTACAAAAAAAACTAACAAAGGTTCATTTTTCTCATCATTTCCAGGATAAGGCAAAAAGAAGATTGTCAATGTTATCAGAGAAAACATTTTCACCAAAAAATCCAATTCTCTCATTTGCTCTTCATAGGCTTCTGTAAATAGGACATTTGAGATAAGGTTTGCAGAGTGACCTGGAATGTTTTTGTTGGGTCTCAGCCTTTACTGGTCAAATAACTGTGTTTGTTAAATAAATGAATGCGAGTCTTTGAAATTTGAGCTCTATTTATATGAACCTCATTTTGCTCATTATCTCCCCAGAGCTTCCTCCTCACTTGGGGAGACTCGTGCATGATAGCAAGTTCCAGCATTGCTTGATTCGAGCTCAGATATGTCCTTTGACACTCACTTGTTAGACACACAGGAATTTAAATATCAAATATTAAAAGAGATGTCTCACGTTTTAATGTTGGTGCTAGACAATGAGACAATTTTAGAATAAGCTTGGCTAACCAGTA